TTGGTGCAACAGATGGCTGCAGTATTCTGCCCGGCAGGAGGCACCCCTGCCGCCCCCATGGGACCCGGACTGGGGGATACCTCGGGGGCACTACCAATACGCCTCACCAAGATGGGGCCGGAGGACAACCCAGAGGCATTTCTGGTGACATTTGAACGGGTGGTGACCGCTGCCCAGTGGCCCTCAGAACATTGGGCCACGTTATTAGCCCCTTATTTGACGGGACAGGCTCAGGCCGCATATCATAGCCTCGACCCCCGGGAAGCGTTCGAGTACGCCCGAGTGAAGGCGGCCATCCGGGACCATACCGGCATTAGCCCGGAGACCTACCGACAACGTCTCCGCAAGGAACAATATCCTCCGGGGGCCCGACCCCGCGCCATGGCCCAACGCATCCGGGACCACTGCTGGAAGTGGTTGAACCCAGAGGGCCTGATGGGACCCCAGGTGGCGGAGATGGTAGCCTTAGAGCAGTTCACTCAGATCCTACCCCCGGGAGGGAGGGCCTGGGTGCAACGGCATCGACCGGCCACCCTGTCTGCAGCGGTGGCCTTAATGGAGGACTACTTATCGGCCGAGGGGGCGGAGGCGCCACCCCGAGTGGCCGGGAGCCTTGGTCGCAAGGGCGGAGCAGAGAAGGGGAACTCTCGTGGGGTGGGATCCTCCGAACCACTGGCAGGCAACAGCCATGGGCATCCGAGGCCCCCCAACCCTGAACCCCGACCCAAGGTACTACCGATGACGACTCGGAGGGAGCGACAGCCCCCGGAGCGAACAGGCCCCCTCGGAGGAGGCCTAAGCCTGGCCGAGACCCGAGAGAGGTGCTGGGGCTGCGGTCAAGAAGGATATTTCCGGCGAGATTGCCCTTTTATGGACTGCAGCTATGGGCAAGCCTGGATGGCCGGATGAAGGGCACGGAAGAGAGGGGCAGGGAAGTTGATAGTCCCTGTCCGGGTTGAAGGGAACCCCACAAACGCCCTCGTAGCCTTGGGGTGTAGTCAGACCCTCATACGAGAGGGGCTGATCCCAAATCTTAATCTTTCGGGGCCCCCGATCTACCTACAGTGTGTGCATGGAGACATCCGCCAGTATCCCACAGCCTGGGTTAAGATGGGAGTAGGCTGCCGAGAGGAGGGTCTCCGGGTAGGAGCGGCCCCCAGGCTGGCCTACCCTGTGGTGTTGGGACGGGATTGGCCCGGCTTCAGAGAGGTCCTCCTGAGATATCAGCCGCCCAAGCCCCCACCAGACAGGACTATAGTGCCGGGAATGGGGCTGCTCGGGCGCAGGCCAAGGGGTGACCCCGGCGAGAGGACCTCCTCGACGGTGGAGACCCCCGTGAATTATACTGGAGACAGGCCCCGTTCGGTGGAGGACGCCCAGGTAGAGTTAGAGCGGGACGGGGACTTCTTACGGGAGCAACGGGAAGACCCAACCCTAAGTCGAGCCTGGGAACAAGCCACCAACCCTGCTATTGAGGGGGATGTGACGCTACGGACTCTGCAGGGCCCCCGCTTTGAGGTACGCCAGGACCGCCTGTACCGAATAGCGCAGGAACCCCAGACCCGGGAGACGTTCCGCCAGCTGTTGGTCCCCCGGAGACTGCGAGCTGGCCTCCTCCACTTAGCCCACGTGAACCCTTGGGCTGGACACCTGGGGCGCGAGAAGACCCTACAGAGGGTGGCTCGCCGGTTCTTCTGGACAGGCATCCACCAGGAAGTGGCAGACTTTTGCGCCTCGTGCCCAGAATGCCAGCGAGCCGGACCGAAAGCGGTAGCCCGTGCACCCCTGGTACCCATGCCAGTCGTGGGGGTACCCTTTGAGCGGATTGGGATGGACCTCGTCGGCCCCCTTGAGCGAA